TTCCTCTCTTCCACCAATTTTAGCTGATTATTTCGGCATTTATTGCTATATCTCCAAGTAATACGCTTGTATTGCTATTTCTTGACTTTTAACTTTTGGACATTATCTGCTCACTTCCCACTGTAGAGAATGGAGATCCAACTCTCCCCCTAGCCTCCCTTATACATATATGAATATGAATTTTTTAAATTCAATGTATGTCAAGGAAATGCTGCTGCAGTTGCCCCGAGCTGTGCCCCTTATTTCCCTCCCCCGTCTCCTACATCTCTCTAGCCCCACCACTCTCACTTGCTGCCAGGGTGGAAATGACTGGATTCTATGAAGAGCTGGGGTTAGGGAAGCAAGGGCGGGAACTTGAAGAAAACGATGTTTGGATGAGCTGCTAAGGGAAGTGAGTGAATAGCTGAGTAGCAATGTTGTTCTAGGCAAAAAAAATGGCCCCCAGTTCTTCAGGTTTCTTCATCCTCCTCTAATGGTGTTCTGACCTGGGATCTGGGGCAGAGAGCCACTGTGCCAGTCTCAGCTCCTAGGATTAGTAATGCCAATCGGAGAAGTTCAAGGAGGTGAAGGAGCCCTTTCAAGGGCACAGGCAGGCAGGCCAGAGTGAGGGGACAAAGCCTAACCCAAAGAAATAATTTACTATCCCTGGAATATCAGATACTATCCCAGAGTCTGTTTTTTGGGTTGAGTGGTGGTAGGCAGAAAGTCCCTAACAGGGACCCTTGTACCTACCGCACTACCAGATCAAATTCCCATTCTTCTACTCCTAAAGCCCACATGGCTTGCATCCTTATCTCAGTTGAAAGAGCTCATTCAGTCTGAGAATCACTTTTCTGACCAGTTCCTGTAGAAGATGTGGCAAGTAAGGGTCTGTCTCCCAGCAGGTTAAAGGCAGGAAAAGAATGGACTTATAACACTAAGTTAAGTGGTGCTCATGACTGCAGGGGAAAGCTGAAATGGACCTGCCCAGCAAAGTTCCTGCATTCCTAAAAAGTACATAAATCAATACTTGAAGAAAAGTTTGGCTTTCAGACTGAAGCATCCTGACTTGTAAATACCACTTCAGAGCAATTTATCTGACTTGATTGCTTTTCAGTTGTCAGCAGGCTTCTATCTTTCTACCTTAAAGTTTTTCTACTACTCAGCCTTTCTATAAAGAGGCAAAATAGTGTATAAGAAGGGTCCCTGAACCAAATCAAAGAACTGGATTCTAATTCTGTCTGTGCCACAAAATAGTTGGGTATGCTTGGATAAATCACTTAACTTTTATAGGCTTCAATTTCTTATGAAATGAAATGATAAGACTGGATAATCTTGAAGGTGGTGTATTAATAAAAATTGCTAAAAGGGAAAAAAAACTCAATTCATATTCACTTAAGTAAATCCAGAAGATTTTGTTTGTTTGTTTTTTGTTTTGTTTTGTTTTGTTTTTGGCTCATGGTTCAGGAGAAGTCCAGGCTTTAGGCAGAGCTTGATCCAGATATTCAAATAATGCTAGAAATCTCTCTTTTTTTTTTTTTCTCCTATCTTTTGAGTCCTCTTTTTCCGCGTTGGCTCCATGCTCAGGCAAGCTTCTTATATCCTACCGGTTTAGCGATGTTAGCACACATAGTGCATCTTAGCCAAAAGTTCTAGCAGAAGTCAAGGTGCTGAGGCTCATAGGCTCTGCTTATGTCATGAGCTCATTTCTGGGAAAGAGAATGTGTTGTTCTGATTGGCTAGACCTAGGTCACATGCCCATTTAGTGGGGAGTGAGAGAGTGTTTTTCAAAGGAAAATCCCTATACTACTAGGCAGGCAAAAATAGCAGATGTTGGTCACAGGTGGTGTAATAGAAAAAAATATGCATATGGGTTTGAGTCCAGGCCCTGTCACTAATTAGCTAGGTAACCCTGAGTAAATTGCCCTCGTTACTCATTTTAAAAATGGGATGAGTTTTTACTGCGTAAGATTAAATGGGATAAAGTATAAAAGGTGCCTGATGTGGTAGCAACAAATGTTCAGCCTGAAATGCTATGACTTTAAGTTAATGATTTTAAATAAATGCTTCATTTCAATACAGGAGCAATTCTTTAAAGAATAACTTCCCTTATGTAATCTCTTGCAAAGTGAGAGCTCCTAATTTCCAGCCTGACAAATCCAGACTTTACATACAATATAGCTTTGACAACTCACTTATGGAGATTTATGTTTAATTAATTTTCTTGTTAACTCAAGATTAATTTGGCTAAAAGATTCTTCGGCATTTCAACCCTTGGCATTGAGGACCACTCTAAGTTGTCTGAACCCATTCTCTTGCTCTAAGTCCATTCTACTGAGTAAACTGGGTTTGCTTTTTGATGCTAGAGGATCTTAGAACATTTTAGGGCTTTGTAGGTCAAAAGGTAGTACTAAGAGATCTTCCCACAGCAAAGCTTTCACAATCCAGCATTGCATTATAAATCAGGACATCACCAGAACCTAGAAGAGTGACTCAGTGTAACCACACTCACAAAAGACTGACACAATTCTTTGCATAGAAATTTATTAATTTATTATCAGAATAGTGTTCTGAGACCATAAAATATCAATGTTCCTCCATCTAGGAAAGCCGCACCTCTGTGCCAGAAGACAAATAATTCATGAGCCAGTAGCTTGGTAGGCACAGAGTCAGTCTTGAGTACCACTTTACTGGGTGGTAAGGTCTGACAGAGCACTGCCATGATGCTCATTGACCCAACTCATTAAACCAAATGTAGTATGTGTCAACTTCTGCATCTTTTAGCCTCTCTTTTCTAGGGTCCCAATTGACCATGCCTCTCTGATTCCCATTATCTATATCTGATCCACACTATAATTAGTCTAGTTGATAAGATATCACAACCACAATTATAATCACAATCCAGTCCTGCCTTCTTGAAGTTTCACTGGTCCACCACAATGGAAATTTGTGTGTGATCCCAAAATATTCAGGTATTGACTCATGTCCTATCCCCACCAGTAGTTAATCTCACCATTCTCCTATAGGTTTTAATAGATAACCCATAGCAACAGCCAGATTTCCCTAACAGTCAAGTTCTTGGGCATATTTCATAAATACTATCAAGTATTACCAAAAGGGGTACTTACCTGAAACATGAATTTAAGACAGTGATAAAAGAAAAGGTATAGAGCATGGAATGAATCAATATTGACATCCAAACATACTTAGGGAACAAATTTCCCTCATGGGTTTGTCATATTCTGTTTTCCTTGAGAACTCAAGATAATGTTTTTGTTAATCAAGGCGTTAAGAATTTTGAAGCTATTACTTCTATTAAAGGACAAACTATGATAGCATTCTATTTCGTTTTTCTATCTCAACTTCTATATCTTCGACTCTCTGGTTTTAGTCTGATTACATTTAAACTCTGCTCTTATTTTCTGCCTGTGTTTACTGCCAACTGTGACTGGGATCTCTCACAATCCCTCTCTCTCATTTTTTTCCCTACCTCTATAATTTTTTCTCTCTCTCTCTTCATCTCTGTGTTCCCTTCTTTTTCTTGTTCCTTCCTTTGGATGTTTATTTAATCATTTTCCCCCCCACCCTTTTCCTCTGATTCTCCACAGTCCCTTTGCCTATTCTTCGATCTCAGTGTACATCCCTGATTCCGACTTTTCCTCATCTTCCTACCAGTCTGTGCCTATCAGTTCCCATTGGTCTCTATTTTTGTGTTTTGCACTGTAGCTGCTTGGTACTTTGTCTGCCTGTCACCAACTCCACATATTTCCTGCTTTCTTTTTCTGTCAATAAATCTTTCCACTTACTGCCTCCTCCACCTCTGCTCTTCCGCTTCTCAACTCCCCTAATGAATCTCCTCTCCTCTCTTTCTACCTCTCTCTTGTTCTGCTAATCTCTCCATCTGCCACTATTACATCCATCTCTCTTGAGTCTGATTGTTCCTCCTTGTCACTTGCTCTCACTAAATCACTGTCTAGACTATCTGTATCTTCCATCCTTGGGATCTCTTTCCGTCAGCCTTTATTTTTTTCTTGTCCTCTTTGGTTATGGCCATTTTACCAATTTTATGATTTTGTTTTCTCTCAGCTTCTATAACAGTTTTTCTCGATATTTCTGCCAAAGATTCTCTGTCTTGCGCTCCATTTCTTTGCCTGTCACTTCTAGGCAACTAATCTTCTTTCTTTCTATCTGTCCCTCAATCTATGTATGTCTGTCTCCAACATCCTCTTTGTCTTTCTCTAGCTCAGCTTTTAGGCAGATTTATTTTTAATTTAATCTTCCTGTCTCTTGCTTTTGCTCATATATCTTTTCTGTGGATAATTAAGGGTTATTTCTTTCTGTCTATTGTTTAATAGAGTAGCAACCTTAATTTGCTCTATCCTTCCCATAACATCCAGGTTATGAACAAAGGAGGGATCTTATGCATTAGAGGAAAAAAAAATGCAGAAGCAGCAAGGTAGAAAGAAGAGCTTTTGAATGAATCCCAGGAAAGATTCAGATATTCCTTAATCCCTCTACAGTCAAACAGAAGACTTCTCTCAGGTGCTATGTTTCTGCCTTATTTTTCATGAAAACCTGGGCCTGGGAAGACCCTACACTGCACACCCAGAGTGGATGTTTGAGTCCATTATGGCTCTGAACTTCAGTACTGTCCTAAGAAAATGCATTTTTTTCTATGGCCATGCTACCCTGAACAAGCCTGATCCTGTCTGATCTCGAAAGCTAAGCAGGGTTGGGCCTGGTTAGTACTTGGATGGGAGACCACCTAGGAAGATCAGGTGCTATAGGTGTAAAAAATAAAAATAAATAAATAAATAAAATAAGGGATTGTAAGTTGACAAGGTCCTTGCAATCTGTGAAGTCAACCAAGGGTTGCCTCGCCTAAAAAAAAAAAAATGCATTTTCTTTAAAAAGGTCAGAAGATATTAAAGAAATTAAAAGGGCAGATGCTGGATACAGTAGGACTAGAGTTAAATACAAACACAATAGTGGAGCTGTGAGAATCAGAATTATCAGTAGCAATTGCTATAGCTCAGGTTCTTTGGTCTCTTGGCAACTTCCAGCTCCAGATAGCATCGGTTGAGTTGTCCTCCCACTGCCAGAATTTGGTCATAAGTTAGGTTTCTTTTCCCTCTTATCTCATCCCCTCCATACCAGATCTCTCGGATCCTAGTAGATCTTCATCTTTCATCTGTCCCTGTGCTGAAGCAAAGGAATATACACATTGGCAGTTTTGTCCAGTTTCATGCTTTCTGCCACCCTTTATTGGTAGTACTGGCTGTACCCCTTGAGTTAATTTGTTGGGAAGGATGACCATCTGTTGATGAAATTCAGTGAACAATAGCCCAGGTTTCCACCCACCCATGAACATCAACATTTCTTCTCAGATTCTAGGAATGGGGGAGGGGTGTGAGTTAGCTGGAAGAAGAACTGACATGCTAAAAATCCAGTCGTCCTTACCCTGACAGGGGGCTGTGCATTGAAGACCATCATCTTTTTTTGTCCTGGTCCTACCTCCTCCAAGACTGGCAGAAGAGGAAACTGAGGCGTCTCTCTACTCTTTCAGGCTGAGAGTGGAATCATCCCTGGCGACAGACTCACTATCACATGTCCTGGTGCCCCTGGTTTCCTTGCACCCAGGGATAAGTGAGAAGGGCTGAGACTGCAACAAATCACTGACCAAAATTCGGACACCCGTGCTGATGCTCATGGCACTCACAGTGACCAGCCCAGTTCCACCAAGGACAACCAAAGCAGGAGGCACCTGGTGGTACTGCTGGATCAACCATAGACTCATCCACCCTAGTGGTACCTGGCAGCAGAGGGCCAGGGTGGCCAGGGTGGCCAACTGGCCACACTGAAGGCTAAGGAGGGGGCTTGTAAAGAAAGCAGCAGTAGCTTTCTTAGGCTCAAACAGGCAGAGTTCAGCTCCAGGAGTAGAGACATCATAGAGAAGCCCACATAGTAGCCGGACAGAATGGTAGTGCTGAGGAAGTTCACTACCTGGGAAGCCAGGGTAAAAGGTCAGAAGACTTCTATGACCTACCACTCATCATGTTCCAATATCTTTATCCTTAAGAGAGGGGCTCCCACGTATTTTCTGACACCCCTCCCCCCAAAACACCCAAATTTTATGCATACCCTTCTGTCAGGGGCCTAAATGGTTTTGAAACAATCCTTCCCTAGAATGGAAGCAGCAGTGGCCCAGAGGACGTCTCCCCTCAGGCTGCAGCATCTGCACAGTCTGATACCCTATCCCCACTCCCAATATGGAAGATTCCCATCCTCAGAAAAGCTCCATATTCAATATTTCTGCAATTGACTGGACACCTGTGGAAATCCAAGCACCTGAGGTAATGCTGACTCCCAGCTGTGGCCAGCAGTCAATTCTCTTCCTGCTTTCAGCCCAAGGTTGGGAGGATAAAGTGCTAGGGGGGTCAGAGACTCTGGGAAGTCATAGGACAGAAAGCTGATGAGAGATTGGAGGGTTTGGTTTGGGCACACCTCCCTTCCTGTCTCGCCTCTGAGTCTCACCACCAAATAATGACAGAGAAGGTGCCAGGCCTGGCCCAAGGTCTGGTTCCAGAGCAAGTCGACTCCATTAGCCAGGAAATAACCTGCGGGTAAGGGTGTGTGTTTGTGTTAGGCTTCTCTTAGGATGGTGTACAGCCTGGGAAGGAATCTCTATCCTCTCCTTTTTTCCAGTTCTTCGGTTTCCCTCAGTAAAGCTGCCAGAAGGGGACCTAGAATTATGGTTGGAAGGTTGCCCCCAAACCCCAAACTGGCCCAGGCTTTCCTGCAGACTTACCTACAGACACAGTCACCAGCACTAGGGCCTAGGGTGCGTGGCCATGAATAAGGTCCGCGGCCATGTGAGGGTACAGCAACAGCCTGGAGGAGAGCCACGGTCAACGTCATGCTGACCCGGATTCCATTCTCCTGCTGTGCACGCCCGCCCACTCATCCATATTCTTACTCTAGTCTCTCAAGGTCTTGCATCAATTTTAAAGGTGCCTGCCAGGTCTTCAAATGTTAACCTTTCACCCCTCACCCTCACCCAGGTGCCTCTCAAACCTCTAAGCCTTGCACCTGAGCAGCACCCCGATCCCCGAGAGCAGGTTGTGCACCAGGGAGACACAGGTGCTCCACCACTTTCAACGGGCCAGAGCAGCAGATCCTGGTATGGGTAGCAGCTGCATTCCCCAGTGCATCCCCCAAAAGGCGGCGGAGGAGATGCCAGTCACTTGGATCCCCGAGGGCGCCATGACCTGACCAGTCCGGATCAGTCCGCTGGGTTCCTGCGCTAGCCCCCTGAGGAGACTGTGAACCACTTCCTGGCAAGACTGGATCTCTGGGATCCCTCACCCGCCCTGCCTTTGAAATCTGCTGTAACTTTTTCAGGGTTCGTCCACGCCCCCATCCTGCGGCTGGGCGGTGATTGGAGCAGGCTTTGTGGCCACCGCCCCTGGAGCCACGGTAACCCATCGCATCCCGCCCTCGCTACAGACGGCGGAGTAAGAGTTCCCGGGAACCTGGCAACGGAGCTGGAGGGGGAGAGGGGGGATGAGCGCTTCCGGAATGCGATAGGGGTCTTCCCCTACTCCCTGTGTCCTGAACCTCTCTTGGAGGGCCAGATATAGGGTCACTAATCTCACCCGACAATCTCAGAGGCCCTGCCCCACTAACTTTCACCTCCTTTCCTTACTCTAACCTCTCACTTGCTGGTCATCCCTCCCACGTCACCCATACAGATCTGAAGTTACAGGCCATGGCAAACCCACTCCCCAGTTGCTTAAACCATGCCACCATACGGCTCCGCACCCATCTCCCGTCTGTTGTGGGGGAGAGGGCACCTCACTTCCTTGGAGCCACCCCATTCTACTTCTCGAGGTTTCTAGACCCTTGACACATCCCAGCAACCCTATAATTCCCGGAGTCCTGCCCCCTCGTATAGTACCTCTCAAACATAATAACGGCTTCCATTTTGGAGAAGCGTCTCATTGGGGACTCCTCCCTCAACTTTTTGGGCGCCCTACAGAGGAGCCTCATTATTAGGAAAGGGAAGCAAAGGGAACCCCTCAGCACTACAGTCTTGGGTGTGGACCTGTTAGGTGGACAGAATCTCTCTTCCCATCTGAAGAGACAAGGAGAGGTCACACAGGGTCACCTCAAGATGGGGCCAAAATGAAAGAGCAAAACAAAATACCCATCCTGCTTTCAGTAGCATGACTGTTAGGATCCTAGAACCTTTCATCCTGGAGAGAAAAATCTTCCCCCCAACCCCTATTTCCTGAAACGTGATAGGTTTTCCTTCTGTCTTACTCCACACTTCTTTAGCTGGCTGACAGCCAGCAATTCAGAGAGCCATTTCCTGTGCATGGAGAGGGTGGATTCCTGCTACTCCCAAAGAATGAACTTCATAAATCAATAGGTGCTCCCCCAAACACTCTCACAAACCCCTTTCTCCACCAAAAATCCACTAAGTCCAAGGGATTTGGGGTATTCCTTCATTATTCCACATCCACCTCTCAAAACCTTTTTTTTTTATTACAAATTCTTTTTAATTTTATTTGTTATATGAAAGCCATATACAATTAATGTAGAAAAATTGTAAATTACAGAAAAAACTGAAGAGGAAAATTACAGTTACCTTAATCCGCCCTCCAAAGATACCTGCTATTAATATTTTAGAGTATGTTCTCAGTCTTTATCTGTTTTATGTATATACCTATGTCTTAAAAAACAAAATTAGGATCACATAATACACACTATTTTTACAACCTTTTTAATATTCAATGAGTATTTTTATTTCCAGTCAAATGTTCTACACGATTTTTAATGGCTGCACAGTACTCTACCATCTGGATGGATATACAATAATTTAAACAATCTCCTACTACAAATTTTCATTACAGCAGAAATGAATTCCTAATTAGAGAGATGCTTCCCCGTTTTTCTCTATTGCAATGTTGGCATGAACATCTTATAACTAAATCTTTCATTATTTTCTTGGGATAAATCTCCAAATTTAGAATTACTAGGTCAAAGACCATGGTAATATGTTTGATACGTATTTCCAAACTGACATCCAGGAAGGCTGTATCAATTTGTTCCACCATATGCAATGTATCGGAGCATTATTTTAGTACTCCTTTGCCAATAACTGGGTGTTATTTTTTTCGTTATAGTTTGCTATGGGAAAAATGCTTACAGCTATATTTGCCTCTCTTTAATTACTAATGAAACACATTTTTCATGATTTTATTCATTTGAATTTCTCTTATGAATTTTCTGTGTATATCCTTTCACAGCTGGCTCTTGCTCCTTGAAGCTCCCTATATAAAAATTACAGAGTAGAGGAAAGGTGGGAAGTCAGAGGATGAAGCCACAGGACACTTTAATATGGTCCCACATCTCTGAGGGAGGCGGAAAGACTGGAAAGAAATGGTGAATGAAGACAGTGGCTGGAAGCTTGTCCTTTATGAAGCCTGGCTGTCCTCCCTCTTCCAGGGGTGCTCCTGGCCTTTATGGGCCCCCTCTGCAGGGTGTCCAGACAGGACCCTGTGCTCTCCCAGTCTTGTCCTTCACCGGTCTTTTGCCTGCCTCTGTGTTCCCAGGCTGCTCTTCCTCATCTCTGCTCCATGAAGGGTGAGGATGACAGAGTCACATACCCAGGGCTGGAAGGGGAGACACTGTGGCCAGTTAAGGCGAGGAGGGGAAAAAGGATAGAAGCAATGTCCAGGGACAGAGCAATCTGTGTTGTGGCCTATGGGTGGAGTCAGTCTACTCTCCCCCTTCAGTCCCATACATTCAGCTTGGGCTACGGAAGTGCTGAGTTCAATGGTCTACTCCACTACCCTCAACCTTTCAGTTTCTTGTAAATGGGGAATACCTCCTCCTCTACATACCTCCTCCTCCAAAATAGAACAAACAGTTTCCTAAAGTCCCTGAACATGCCCACCTTCAGGCAGGGAGACTGGGCCAAAGCTGAATCACACCAGAGCCTGAGCCCAAGAGTGAGACTGGATCAGGAGCTGGGGGTGGCAGGTTTATACTACCTGATGCCCCAATGGGGGTCATGTCCCACAACTCATTTCCCCTGGTTCCTGGAGGGGAGAATATCCTGCCCGCACAGGCCTGAGATGAGTCTCATACACTATCCTGAAAAGTGAGGAAAGAAAGAGAGCAGTGGTAGCTGGAACCCCATCAGAGAGCAGTGGTTCCTGGAGGGGAGAATATCCTGCCCGCACAGGCCTGAGATGAGTCTCATACACTATCCTGAAAAGTGAGGAAAGAAAGAGAGCAGTGGTAGCTGGAACCCCATCAGAGGCTGCAGGCCTATTTTGGGTGGCAGAGGAAGCCTGGGGGTACCTTTGCATGGTGAGAAGTCAGACTGAGCTCCTGCTAGCCTCTCCTCCCAATACTCCTCCCTCCAGATCTTGGAGTTATGGTCAAGAGGAGCAATAGCTTATGTGAAAAGCTGTTTTGTTCCTACCGCAAGCTCTGAGTCTGCACAAATGGGTTTCTGATTCCCTCATGTACACTCAAGTAGGTGATTCCCCATCTCACAGGTAGGTGGAGAAGCTGAGACAGAAAGTCTAAGGATCCCACATTTAGGTGAGAATCCCTGAATCTACAGTCTGGGCCAGCCTAAAGAAAGGTAAGAGCAGAGGGACGACTACTCAGACGAGAGTTTCAGTAGGACCTTTTCCCTGAGAAGAAACTTACTTCTAGGCTTCACCTGGAAAGGTCAGTGGAAAGAAGAGGGGACAAGGAAGGAGGGCTAAGAAAGACACCTGGGTAAAGGGGTATACAGGGTTTTCTTGGCTTCACTTGTTCCCATTGTCACACCACAACTAACTAAGCCTAGGTAGTCAGAGCCATCTATACCCTAATTCAGCCAGGGTCTCTAATCTAAAATTGTTCCCTCTTGCTGGGCCAATTGGGGTGAAGGTTCTCTTATTGAACAGGATTCCCTTTCCAAAAAGGTATCATCACTCTCACTGTTCAGACCTTCCCGACCCCAGTTCTGTCACCTTCCAGATGAAGAGAAAAGCAGCTCCTTCTCCTCTTCCTCCTCCTCCTTGAAGCCAGGGGCAGAGGGCAACAGTTCTTCAACTGGCAGCTTTAGCTGGGTCAGGACATAAAGCTTGCCACTGAAGAACTACTGCGGCTCAGCCAGGTGAGAGTGTGGGAGGTACAGGCTCCTATAGGGAAAGGGAAGAAAAATGGGAAAGATCTGAGCAGGGCCACGTCACAGGGCCACTGTTCCACTGATCATCAAAGTCCAGCCCCAGCAGATACTCAGCTTTCTAATGAAGGGTTCCTGATTCTAACCCGAGTCTGCAGGAGCTGTTAAAACTTCTGCAAGAAGCAAGAGGCAGCTCTAAATATACTTCCCTTGCTCCTCTTTCCAGAACTGAACAGTGTTGAAACCCAGGCCTGCTCTCACCCACCCCTCACCCCAGCTACCCAGGAGGGAACCCAGCCTACTCAACATTCAGAGAGGGCAGGACCTGGGGACCCTGGGCACATCCCACCTGTCACCCAGGTTACAAGGTGAGAAGTTGTATCTCTGGTCCAGAAATATGAATTCAGTGATCAGTCCAACTGACTTGTTCCCAGGGAGTTTAGCTGAAAGAAGAGTTTCAGGGAGCCTGCATTTGGGGAAGAGTGAGGAAAGGAGGAGATCTAGAGTTTGGAAGGTCAGCAGAGGCTCCTGGGACTGTGAAGAGAGGATGGGACCAAAGGCTGGAGGGAAGAAAGATTGGGCAGCCTCCCCAGGACTTTCAAATGCCAGGCATTCCGCTAGCGCATTCCGGGTACATCTGGTATGAATTCCAGGCTGTCTGCCGGCCCCTCCATGTCTGAACTTTGTTCCAAGTTCCAAGCCCCGCCCCCACAGTTCCAACGCATGAATCAGCAGGCCGGCAGCATGGCCCAGGGAGGGGGCTGGGGGCGTGGCAGGCTTGGGGGCTAAGAGCTGGGGAGAGCGGGTGTATGCTGACACTCAGCCCAAGGGCATGGCCCATGACAACGGGAGGGGTCAAGGTGGTCTTGCCAAGAGATTTCTATACTCAGAGGATAAGAAAGATTAGGGTGGGGGTGGGAGGTGTTCAAATTACAAAACCCTCTTGGGAGGCATAAACTTTGTGGTACCTTCTTTATCCCAGGTGACCAGTCTCAATTCCTTCCCATTCCCCTCTGTCTGAGTCGGTTCTGGTCAGTCCATAGGACTCAGCGGCTGCTGAAAGTCTGTGCCAAGCAGGTGCCCTTGGCTGCAGGGCGGGGTGGGTCCAGGGCACTGACCCTCTGACCAGCTGCTCCATCAACCCTTTGGCACCCTGACAGCTTCCAGCCCAGTATGACAGCCAGGGTGACAGGCCAAATGAGTTGGAGGCTGGAACTAGGGCCGAAAGGAGGTGGGGGCGAGAGCTTAGCCGGAGGCCACGGGGAGGGGCCAAGAGTTGGCCGAGAGGTGGGGAGAGAGGGAGCCCAGTGATGACTAACCCAGGCGCCCCACCCAGCCAGCCGGCTTCCCAGGCGGTCAGGGCCAGGCCTGGGCTAGGGGCCCCACAACTGGACAGGCTTGGGGGAGGTGCAGAGGTGACCTTCTCTCTGCTCAAGACGGCTAGTTAGGCTGGGGAGGGGGGTAGAGTTTCCAGGCCCTCCTCCTGCCCGCTCTCCCCACCAACCGCGGTGAAACCCTAACCTTAGGGTTGCATAAGGCCCACGGCACCGCCGCCCCCTACTCCTTTCCCCTCCCCCCTTACATAACATCCCCTGGAGGGAATGAGAGGAGGGGCCGGCTCGCCCAGAGACCCCTTCCCTGCCAGGGCGCTCAGCTGGCTCTGATCTACTGAGTGCCGGTAAAGGCAAAGCACCCTACCACTACACGCCGCATCCAAATCCTACCCTGGCTGGGTGGTCGGCTCCCGTATCCTCGGACCAGAAGACGCCGAGGTTAGCCGCCCCCAGCCCGCCGGCCCCTCACCTTCCTCCCAGAGACTCCGTAAGACTTTCCGCCAGTACTTCTGTCCCAGACTCTTTTTAAAAACCTCCTGACACACTACTCCAGCCAGTCCAGGCCACTCTCCCCTGGAGCGCCGCTGCCCCCGCTGCCCCCTCTCCACTCCCCCGGAAGGGCAGGGTGTGGCCGCCAGGACCCTACTTGCCCCTATTACTCCGTTAGCGCGGTTCCCTCCTGTGCTGCCAGGACCCAGTTCACACCCACCTGGTGCTGGGTGTGTGTGTGGGGGGGCTGAGGGTAAGGGAGCAAATCAGTGCGTCCGTTCCTCGCGGCCGGCGGCGCTCTCTTCCCAGCGCCCAGCACACACCGGCTCCGGTCTCCGATCAGCTGGCGGCGTCGTGACGCACAAGTTGCGATTGTACCGCCCAGGGCCAATCACCACCAACTGGCGGGCAGCGTGACCACACCCACTCGGGGGCGCCAGCCCTTCGCTCTTGTCCCGCCTCTCCGGCTGTCTTAGTTCTGATTGGCAAGGAGGTCACCCCTTTGCTTAGTGGAGTTGCACTAAAGCCACGCCCACCAACTCACGAGCTGGCCAATAGGTGAAAAGGTGTGGCTCAGCCCTCTGCCTAGGATACTCGCTTTGAAGAGCGCTACGTCAAACCAGAGTCCTAAAGAGCAGAAGGAAGTAAAGGCGTGTGTGTTTGCAGTGCATACTGGTCAATGTAGTTCTCGGTCTGACACTTCGTTCCCAGAATCCAGCGCGCTCTGTGAGTTGGCATTTTTAAACTCTTCTCTGAATCCATCCCGGCTAAGTCCTTAAAGGGCTACAGTCCCTCCTTTTTAGAGCCATGAGTGCTTCTTCTAGACGACCCTAAAATGGATCCGCTGACCTCTGCAGGAGGCTATAGCTCTCAGAGAAAAGGTGGAGCAGACGAAGCAGCAGGAGTGGGCAGAACTGAAGGTGGAAATCAGCCCTCAGGGCAGCAGACTCTTCCACTGGATAAGAACCGCTTTGAGGGGAAGGGAGGACTGCTCACCTCGCCTAGCCCCCGCTTTTCCTGAAGAGGTCTAGCCCACTCCTCCTGGGGGTGGGGGCTTCCTGATCAGGAGATTTTTCTTTTCTTGGGGAAGATGGTCTCGTCCCAGTCACAGACAGAACCAATTCCTAAGAAAAATTTCATAGCATAGTCTTCACCTGAGGGTAGAAGGAAGACCTGTAGTCAAAACCATAGGCCGTGTCAAAGTACAACTGGTCAGCAACCCCATCTATCTCTGCCTGATACCCCCATTCCGTCCCGCCCTCCAGAAGATTTTCACTGACTCAGGCCTACTTAGGGAGAGATTTCAAAGGTAGAGACCAATGAGGAGGCTGCTCCCTCTCCAGGGTCCAATCAGAGTCTAGAGGGGCGGGGGATGGGCAAAAACTGAAAGGAACCCAGTGACTTGGCAAAAGCTGCTGGACGGCTTATTTAAAGGGGCAAGTCTTAGACCCGTCCCACCTCATCACTGCCCCCACCCCAACGAAGAGAAACGTGTACACAGGGATCCACGACTTTTCCATAAACTCAGAATTGGAGGTGAGGATAATTGAGCTGGAAGGATTAGCCTGGAGTGTGAGATAGTTCCTTCTATATTAAATACAGGCTCTGCCAAGTGATTGCTATAGTTCTTAGGAACTCCAGAATCCTGAGTTTGTGTTCAGAACATTGTGCCTTTAAGGAAACTTCCTGCCTTCCGGCCCAGTAACAGCTGATTGTTGGAAAGTATGACTTCAGGGGACAAATCAGCTGTTACCACATCTTCCTCCTGGCCTGCCCTACTCCATCTCCTTATCCACTCCCCCATGGGGGGGTCGGGGAGGGAAAGAAGGAGATTGAACCCCAAATATGGGAGACCTGCTTGTATGTTCTTTCCTCTTTTCTCTCCAAGACTGTCTCTACCTGCCTCCTCCCTCCCACACACACCTCCATGCCCCAGTCTACTGTTTCTTCAGAGGTTCTGAGCTTGGAACGAGAGGTATTTCCTGTCAGCACAGTCAGCTCTACCCACCCGCCCTAGTCTAGTAAAGGAGGCCAGTATTGGGGAGGCCCAGAATGGAGACTGGATAAGTGTGTGTGGGCTCCAGGAATGGAAACTGGGGAAAGTTCAGTGAAGCTGCGGCCCAAGCCTAGAGGAGAAGAATGGCTGTGGAAAGCAAACCTCCTCAGGATCAGAATCCTGCTGCCCAGGCCAGCTACCTACTACTGTCTGCTCAAGTCACCCTATTTCTCCCCAGACAGGAGCCTGCTAAGGGGATCTTCCTGGCTATGCCTATTCACTCCACTTCTAACTGTTCTAGATGCCACCTGGCCCTTGGCTGCTCTAGTTTTTATATGCTCTCAACCTCCACAGCAAGGGAGCTAAGGCGGAGCTTCCCAGGGGCTGCAGGTGGAAAGCACTGGCCCCCGGAGCCAGGGGCTTTGGCTGGGAAGTTCTGCAGGAAGACCTAGGTAAATATTTTGCCCCCGCCCTGAGCTGGGAGTCAGGGTCACTCTAGGACAAGCTTAGTGTGAAGTCCCAGGACTGACTTGGCAAGTTGGGAGAAACTGAGCAGGGCCTTGGCCAAGCTTGGAAGGAAGAGAAATCTCACCAGCTGTTCCATTTCCATTATTCTTAGCACAGATGTCCCATCCCCTTCCCACCGAAGGCCCTTGGGGTAGGCCCTACTCCATTTTGTTCTGCTAAGTCTCCATCCCCTCACTATCCTACTCTATAGGGCAAAAGCACAGGATTTGGGTCCAGGGTTTCTCAACCTGAGCACTATTGACATTCTGGGTTTGATAATTTCTTGTTGTGAGGGCTGTCCTGTGGGGCCAGCATCCATGGCCCAGTAGATGCCATTAGCAAAATACCCTGCCCCACCACCCCAACAACAAAAGTGTCTCTAGACATCCCAAACGGTCCCTGGGGGCCAAAATTGCCCCCAGTTGAGAACTATTGAGTTGGATGAACTTGGATTTAAATTCCAGCTCTTACCAGTTGTGAGCTTGATGAATATACTTAACATCTCTGAGTTTCAATTTCCTCACCTACAAAATAGAATGAATAATAAGTTCATGGCTTATTGTAGGGATTAAAAAAAGGATTGTTTAAAAACACCCAGCACAGTACCTGGCCCACTGGCCCACTGGCCCACGTTTGGTGTACTAAATGTTAGCTTCCTTTACTTTTCTCCCTGTCAGATCAGCAAAGGCTAGCCTCACCCAGCATGGGCTGACTGTCAGCAGGGAAAGCTGCAGCCTGCCTCTCTGACTATCCGAGCAATGACCTGCTGGCAACTCAATATTGAAGTTGGCAAAGGGGAGCGGCTAATTTGGTCCCAGATTCCCAAAAGCCCAAGGGTGCTTGGGTTGGGATTCGGGGAAATTTGGGAATAGAGCTGCTACAGAGCATTATTTATCTTAATATGTGGCCTGCAGACTGCCTGCATCAGAATTACCTGGGGTGCATGTTAAAAATTCAGATTCCTGCGTCCCGCCCCAGACTACTCAATGAGAAGTACATCATAAAATTTGAAAACCATTGTTTTAGGGCTGGGATTGGGGAAGGTGTCATTGCCCCGGAAATCTTAGTACACCAGTGCCCAGCATTGCAAGGACTTTCCTCAAGAGAATTCTAAGAGGTAAGGTTAGTTACACCCAAGGTCACTGTTGCATTGCAAACCAAAACCACTAGAGGGCAGGGTACACACAGACTTGCAGAAAGAAAAAGTGCCTGAGCAATCTAGGTAAACTGAGACCAGAGCAAAGACCAGGTGGACCCAAAGAAGCAGGCACTACCTCTAGATGATCAAAACCCATCCTCTGGTCTCAGATACTCAGACCAAAGTTGGGGATGCGAGATTGTCAAAGAATACCTAATTTCCCAGGTGAAAACACCAATAGTACATGGCCAAGCAGTACAGAGAACATTGGTTTTAGGATGAGATAGGCCTAGGTTTGAATCCTGGCTCTACCACTTCTTATCTATGTGACCTTGGGCAAGTTACCTAAGGTAATCAGCTTCCTCATCCTAAAATGGGTATAAAAATTTCTTCTTGAAAGGGTAGTGTTGAGAATTAAACAAAACAAGGTATGCAAAGTGCTTAGCATGTTGCCTGGATTGCTAATCAGTCAGAGCTTGATAAATGGTGGTTTTGAGTTATTACTGCCCAAGGTCCTGTGACCAAGCGCATCAGAAGCTCTGGTTGCCCCATCAAGAAAGAGAATACAGTTGAAATCAGATCATGGCAGAGCCATTCCTGTCTCCTAATTTGGACTTTAGATTTTCTTAAATGTCTTTATGGAACTCCCATACCTCTACATCAAACTTCTACAGGAGGCAAACTCTCCTTTTAGGAGTGAGACTCAAAAAAACAGAGCCAGTGGTTTCACAGAAAACAATGGCCTATCTGTTTTGTAAATGAGTCAGAACTGAGACCCCTTGAAGGAGTCATGTAGTTCTGGTGCCAGCTCTCTGGTTTCCGCTCCTTAACCCATGCTGCACCCTCCCCCAGCCACGGTGGCATCTGCAAGGCTCTGACCACAGCAGGCAGGCTCTGTGACACCGCAGAAGCTGATCTTCAACAGGAAGCCTTGGGGGAACATTTTCTCTCAAGGACGCCAGGCCTCTTGGCCTTGGCCACTTCCATTCCTCAGATCACCCAGAATTTAAAAAAAAAGAAAAAAGAAAAAAGAAAGAAAGAAAGAAAGAAAGAAAGAAAGAAAGAAAGAAAGAAAGAAAGAAAGAAAAAAAAATATGTATGTGTGTGTGTGTGTATGTTATGTTATAGGTTATTTTTTGCCTATCAGTGACCAAAATATATAATTTATATTTGAGCCTTTCTTAAGATAAACCTTCACCATGCTTTTTAAAGGGTTTATGTATGTATTAATTTATTTGAATGACAACCAATAATTAAAAAGAAAGAAAGAAAGAAAGAAAGAAAGAAAGAAAGAAAGAAAGAAAGAAAAAAATATATATATATATGTATGTGTGTGTGTGTGTGTGTGTGTGTGTGTGTGTGTATATATTTAAGAAAGAAGAGAGCTGTTCAGTGGGGAGGACTCCAGGGCAGAAAGTCTCCATTCTGTCACTTGCACGCCTCTTTCGGCCGCTCTTGGTTATCACCTGAAAATATAAACAGTAATAATCGTCCTCCCTACCTCACAGTGTGTTATGAAGGCCAAATGGAATGTTACTGAAGAAATGTTTTGGAAAATTAAAAGTTCCTTTTGGAAGGCAGCATGGAGGCGCCGAAGGCACTTGATGTCAAAAGTCCCAGCTCTGCCTTGGGTTTCTAATCTGTAAAAGCGGTGGCAGGAGAGGGGGAATCGGCCCGCTAAATGCTGGGATCTCTGGGAAAAGCCTCCCTACATCAGCGTTCTGGAGCGTGCAGGAGGAAGCAGGGAGAGGAGAGTACATCTCGTGGGTGGTTCAGCATCCCTCTTGCCCGCATCCGCGGGCCGGCTGGGGTCCCTTTCAGCCACAGAGGAAACGAAGCCGCCACCAGCCCTGAGCAGAGAGCTAGGAGGGAGGGCGCGGAAGCCCGCCGGGCGGTGGCGCGGGCGAGAGGCGGGGTCCCGTCCCCTGCTTTGAGCCACGTGCGGTTGTTTCCGTACTGGGGCGATCACGTGAACCGCGTCAGCTGACCCGTCACGGTGGAGCAGGGCGCTGGCATCCCGCAGCGCCCGCCCTGCAGCGCCAGGAGCGCAGGACCCTGCAGAAGGGTAAGAGCGCCCGGCTCTCCGATCCTCTGTCCCTGGCCCACCGCCGCCGCCTCCGCCCCAGCTCCTGTCCCTCGCCCATTCCTACCCTGCCAGTCTGGCACCCAGAAGCCGTTGCGAGGAGGGCCGTGGCCCTACTCAACCCCGCGCTGCTCCCAGGTGGCCAGGAGGGGATGGCCCCGGGGAATAGGGGGCGGGAAGTCACTCTTACCACTGGGGTCAAGGGCCGGGCCCCGCCCCCAAGCCCTAACATGGAGGAGCTGCTCCAGAGCGTGGAGAGAGACCTGAACATAGATGCCCGGCAGCTTGCTCCGGCCCCGGGGGGCACTCACGTGGTAGCCCTAGTCCCCGTGCGCTGGCTGGCCAGTCTCCGTGAGCGCCGACTGCCTTCGGGACCCTGCCCCAGGGCAGAGGGCTTGGGCGAAGCGGAAGTCAAGACTCTCCTTCAACGCTCCGTGCAGAGGCTGCCCCCAGGCTGGACGCGAATAGAGGTGCATGGACTGCGGAAACGCAGGCTGTCCTACCCGCTGGGCCGCGGCATGCCCTTTGAGGAGGGGTCCTGCAGCTCTGAAACCCTCAATAGCTTCATGCAGGATGTGGCTGCCCAGAATTATCGCAACCTGTGGCGCCATGCATATCATACTTATGGGCAGCCCTATAGTCATAGCCCTGCCCCCTCAGCTGTCCTTGCCCTGGACTCAGTTAGACAAGCTCTGCAGAGGGTCTATGGTTACTCCTTCTTGCCAGTGGGCGAAGCTACCCAATGCCCAGCATATACCAGAGATGACCCTTGTCCCCCTCAGGGCAGCCAGGCTTGTCCCAGTCTTTTGAGAGCTGAAGCCCTGCTGGAGTCCCCAGAGATGCTGTATGTGGTGCACCCTTACGTACAGTTTTCCTTGCATGATGTGGTCACTTTCAGTCCTGCCAAGCTGACCAACAGCCAAGCCAAGGTGCTCTTCATTCTTTTCCGTGTGCTGAGGGCCATGGATGCCTGTCACCAGCAGGGACTGGCCTGTGGGGCCTTATCTTTGCACCACATTGCTGTGGATGAGAAGCTTTGTAGTGAGCTCCGGCTGGACCTGAGTGCTTATGAGAGGCCCGAGGAGGATGACAATGAGGAGACTCCTGTAGCAAGGGATGGGGTAGGCACTGAGCCTGGAGAAAAGGAAGGAAGAGGACCTGGGTGTTCTACCTGCCAAGAAGAACTCAGGGGCCTTGTGCTAGACTGGGTCCATGGTCGCATCAGCAACTTCCACTACCTCATGCAGCTGAATCGGTTGGCAGGTCGGCGGCAGGGGGATCCCAACTACCACCCAGTATTGCCCTGGGTGGTGGATTTTACCACACCCCACGGGCGCTTCCGAGACCTGCGCAAGTCCAAGTTCCGCCTCAACAAGGGAGATAAGCAGCTGGACTTTACGTATGAGATGACACGGCAGGCGTTTGTGGCAGGTGGTGCAGGTGGCGGAGAGCCACCTCATGTTCCTCACCATATCTCAGATGTGCTCTCGGACATCACATACTATGTGTACAAGGCTCGGCGCACACCCCGGTCAGTGCTGTGTGGACATGTGCGGGCACAATGGGAGCCCCATGAGTACCCTGCCAGCATGGAACGTATGCAGAACTGGACACCTGATGAGTGTATCCCTGAATTTTACACTGATCCCTCCATCTTCTGTTCCATCCACCCTGATATGCCTGACCTGGATGTGCCAGCCTGGTGTAACTCCAGCCAGGAGTTTGTGGCTGCCCACCGGGCACTGCTGGAGAGCCGTGAGGTATCCCAGGACCTACACCACTGGATCGATCTCACCTTTGGCTACAAACTCCAGGGCAAGGAGGCTGTGAAGGAGAAGAATGTGTGTCTGCATTTGGTGGACGCCCACACGCACCTGACCAGCTATGGTGTGGTACAGCTCTTTGACCAGCCACACCCCCAGCGCCTGGCTGGGGCTGCTACCCTTGCCCCTGAGCCTCCACTCATCCCTAGGCTGTTGTTCCAGACCATCCAAGAGAGCACAGGCCGGGAGGACTTCCCAGGGCAACTTACGAATGGAGTGGGCAGGCTGGTTTTGGAGGCCACTCCCTGTGAGGCTGGCTGGGCCAGAGACAAGCCAGTGACAGGGGAAGATGACTTGGAGCAGGCCACGGAAGCTCTGGATTCCATTTCCCTTGCTGGGAAAATAGGTGACCAGCTGGGCCCCTCCTCCTCCTCCTCCTCCTCCAGTCAAGCCCCACCAGGCCTCCTATCTTTCTCCGTGCCCTCAGCCTCTCGAATGGGCCGCAGGAATAAAGCTGCTGGAGCAGACCCTGGGGAAGCTGAGGAGGGGAAGATTCTTCTTCCTGAGGGTTTCAATCCCATGCAGGCTCTGGAAGAGCTGGAGAAACTAGGCAACTTCCTGACCAAAGGCCTAGGGGGCCGCTTGGAGGTGCCTGAGCAGCCCCAGATCCAGCCACCTGTGCAGCTGTGGGACCTCTTCCATCGGGACATGCAGGCACTGGGTGTCCTATTGGCTGAGATGGTGTTTGCCACCAAAGTCCGAACACTACAGCCTGATGCACCTTTGTGGGTACGCTTTGAGGCTGTTCGGGGGCTCTGCACACGCCATCCCAAGGAGGTCCCTGTGTCTCTGCAGCCTGTGCTGGACATGCTTCTGCAGCTGAGTGGACCAGAAGGCCCCATGGTAGTAGGGAGGGGCAAGCTGGGTCCACTGTTTCAGTACAGGCCTGTGTCCCAGGGATTGCCCCCACCTTGCCCAGCCCAGCTCCTCAGCCCCTTCAGCTCTGTGGTTCCCTTCCCTTCATACTTCCCCGCACTACATAAGTTCATCCTCCTGTACCAGGCAAAGCGTGTGGAGGATGAGGCTCAGGGGCGGGAGCTGGTCTTTACTTTGTGGCAGCAACTGGGTGCAGTGCTGAGTGACATCACCCCAGAGGGGCTGGAGATCCTGCTGCCCTTTGTGCTGTCACTCATGTCTGAGGAGCACACGGCTGTGTATACAGCCTGGTACCTATTTGAACCTGTTGCCAAGGCACTGGGCCCCAAAAATGCTAACAAGTACCTACTGAAGCCTCTCATTGGTGCCTACGAGAGCCCCTGCTGGCTTCATGGCCGCTTCTACCTATACACTGACTGCTTTGTGGCTCAGCTGATGGTGCGGCTGGGCCTGCAGGCCTTTCTCGTCCACCTGCTGCCCCATGTCCTGCAGGTGCTGGCTGGTGTGGAGGCCTCCCAGGAGGAAAGTAAGGGCCTGACAGGAGCTGCCGAGGATGAGGAAAGCGGGCTTCCAGGGGCCAGGCCCAGCTCCTGTGCCTTTGGGGAGGAGATTCAGATGGATGGGGAGCCTGCTGCCTCCTCAGGCCTTGGGCTCCCAGACTATACATCTGGCGTCAGCTTCCACGACCAGGCCGACCTCCCTGAAACAGAAGACTTTCAAGCTGGGCTCTATGTGGCTGAGTCCCCACAGCCCCAGGAGGCTGAGGCTCTGAGCCTGGGCCGACTGAGTGACAAGAGCAGCACCAGCGAGACCTCTCTGGGCGAGGGCGAGGAGCGGGCTGCAGATGAGGGGGGCACTCCTGTGGACAAGAGCAGCCTTAGGTCAGGTGACAGCAGCCAAGACCTGAAGCAAAGTGAAGACTCAGAGGAGGAAGAGGAGGCAGAGGAAGGCAGTGTAGTATTGGAGGAGGAGGATGGGGAGGGGGAGCAAGACGAAGTCACTGGGACATCTGAGCTCACTCTCTCTGACACGGTGCTGTCCATGGATACGGTTGTGGCCGGTAGCAGCGGGCCAGATGGGGAGGTAGAAGAGGAGCCACTGACCGAGCAGTTGGAAGGCAAAGAACAGAAGATCCTTCTTGGTGAGTTCTCAGGCCTAGAGGTGTTGGTCAGTCATCTGGTTTTCACTCAACATTTGCTGCACCAAGCAGTGTATCGAGCACATCCACACACAGCATAGTTGTGGGCCTGCCCTCCTAGAGCTCACATCTAGCAGAGGAGGTGCCATGTTGTAGATAGTCCTACATGAGCACAAGGTATGGTAGTGCTGTAATGAACATGGCTGGGTGCTACGAGGGAATATAAAACGGAGCTTTGACTTAGTTTTCAGGGGTCAGAGAAGCCTTCCTTGAAAGTAGGGCCATTTGAGGTTCAATGAGTAGGAGGTAGCTAGGCAAAAATGGCAGGGTCTTTGGTGGGAAGAGCATTCCATACAGAGAGAATAGCATGTACAAGGCTCTGAGGTTGTCATGGTTTCATTAAAGAATCGGTAAAAGGCCAGTGTAGTTAGACTAAAAGAGTGGAGGGCAGAGGAGGGATTAGAGACCAGAGTGGGTGGTAGCTAGAGCACAGCCAGGGCCTCATTTATTAGCTGAAGATTTACTGAAAGAATAACCTGGAGCAACCCCAAAGCCAGAGTCCCACAGGCCATCTCTGCCACTGCTGAATGGAGGGTGGTGGTGTGGGGTGACTAGGCTCAGGCTGAGCTCCTTGGCAAAGTGGTAGGCAGAGTTGGCTGGGTGGGGTGCCAAGGGGTGGGGAGGGAGAAGTAGTGAGCCACCATTATCTGATGAGCTCAGGGCCTGCTCCCGTCCTGCAGATACGGCCTGCAAGATGGTCCGCTGGCTGTCCGCCAAACTCGGCCCCACAGTGGCTTCTCGCCACGTGGCCCGGAACCTGCTCCGCCTGCTGACATCATGTTATGTTGGTAAGGTCTCTGGTCAGTGCTGGAGATGAAGCTTCTCCCAGGCCATCTTCAGTCCCCTCTAGGGAATCCTTCCCACTCCCACCGCAGACTACCTTCTGGCCAGGTCCTGGGTCCCAGTCTGTAAGCTCTTTCCTTCCTTAGGTAGGGCATAGGGCAGACCCCAGCCTAAAGTGAGTGGGAGTGGCTACCACTCTGGTCCCTGGAAGACCGACTGCCCTCCTGGCCTCCACTAGCATTCAAGGCCACTGGCCCTTCCTTGGCAGGTTCTACTCGGCAGCAGTTCACTGTGAGCAGTGGCGAGAGCCCCCCGCTGAGTGCTGGCAACATCTACCAGAAGAGACCGATCTTGGGCGATATAGTGTCAGGGCCTGTGCTCAGTTGCCTCCTCCACATTGCCCATCTGTATGGGGAGCCTGTCCTCACCTACCAGTACCTGCCCTACATCAGCTACCTGGTTAGTCCCTGTTTAGGCTGGGGGTTGGGGGTCTGAGGAGCCTGAGAGCCGACCTGGGATCTCTGGGGGTTCCAGGCAGTCTGTGGGGCAGGCTGGTCCTCAACGACTCTGTGGCCCTAGGTGGCCCCAGGTAGCACCTCAAGCCCCAGTCGGTTGAACAGCCGTAAGGAGGCAGGGCTGCTGGCAGCAGTGACTCTGACCCAGAAGATCATCGTGTACCTCTCAGACACCACTCTCATGGACATCCTGCCCCGTATCAGCCACGAGGTCTTGCTGCCTGTTCTCAGCTTCCTCACTTCCCTCATCACAGGGTAAGCCCCTGCCCCATCTCCTGGGGGAAGCAGCCTAGCTATGGAGGCTATGTGGGTGGGGGACTGGGAAGCTTGAGGGAAAGTCCAGAGGCACTGAACTGGGTACCAGGAGTCCTGGTTCTGATCCCAGCTGCAGATCCCTGAGCAAGCCACGTGTTCTTTCTGTGCCTCAGTTTCCTTATCCTGTTTGGACCAATAGATCTATAGCTCCTTTCACTTAAAACTTTTGGTGGGTTCTGGGCAAGTCCCACAGAGTAAGCTTTGTTTCCAGGTTCCCAAGTGGAGCCCAGGCCCGGACTGTCCTGTGTATGAAAACCATCAGCCTCATCGCCCTCATCTGCCTGCGCATTGGACAGGAGATGGTCCAGCAGCACCTGAGTGAACCAGTGGCTACCTTCTTTCAAGTCTTCTCTCAGCTGCACGAGCTTCAGCAACAGGTGGGCAGACCTACCTGGCTAGCATGGGCTGGGTGGGGGCTGTAGACTCAACTGACTCCCTGTCTTCCTGCCCCCAGGATCTGAAGCTGGATCCTGTGGGCCGCAGTGAGGGCCAGCTGCCAGAGGTGGTCTTCTCTGATGGGCAGCAGCGGCTGGTGGACCCCACCCTGCTGGATGAGCTACAGAAAGTGTTCACCTTGGAGATGGCATACATGATCTACGTGCCCTTCTCCTGCCTGTTGGGTACTGCCCCCTCATGTTCCTTTACAGACTCTGTGGCTGTCTCTTCCCCTGGGAGGGTCCCATGCTCCCCCTGCACTCAGAGTTAGTAGTGGGTGTTAAGCATAGTTTTCTGGGTTAGAACAAAGGGATTTGTCCTCAGACTTCGAGTCCCAAGGTGACATAATAACAGGAACTGAGCGTTAGCCAGCAAGGGGGCACAGGAATGGCCTAGTGTGTTGCTGAGGAAGGCCGGGCAGTCATGCTGACATACTGACATCTCTAGGAGCTGTCTGAGAGAAATGGGCAGCCCACTTTTATGTAGCTTCTCGTATGGGCCAGACACTGTTCTGAGCATTGACATATGTCATCTCCTGGAATAGGATGAGCAGCCCTGTGATCAGATAAGTTGTCATCCCTCCACTGAAATCTAAGCTCTAGGAGGGAGAGTATTACCTGTCTCATTCATTGTTATATTTCTGATGCTTAGTATGGTGCCCAGCACATGAAGAAGGTGCTCACATGTACATAGCGAATGAATAAGAGCATGTTTTACTGGGGAGGAAACCGAGGCTCAGAGATGTAGTGTCACTTGCTCATAGTTTCAGAGCCCGTACCTATCATGCCTTCTGTAGTTCCCAAGCCCTTGGGTGGGAGGTAGCAGCCACCTGCCATCTTTCCTAATCTTAGGGACCTCTTCCACTCCCATCCAGGTGACATCATCCAGAAAATCATCCCTAACCACGAGCTGGTAGGGGAGCTGGCAGGGCTGTATTTGGAGAGCATCAGCCCGAGCAGTCGCAGCCCTGCTAGCATGGAGCCCACTGTGCCAAGCACCAGCCCTGAGTCAGACCCCCAGGGTGGGGGCTGTCCCCAGGATGACAGCCACTCGGGGACCTTTGGGAGTGTCCTGGTTGGGAACCGCATCCAGATCCCTGACAACTCTCAGCCTGAGAACTCTGGCCCCCTGGGCCCCATCTCTGGGGTGGGCAGTGGGGGCCTTGGCAGTGAGAGCGAGGACAATGCGTTGAAGCGGGAGCTGCCACGGAGTGCCCATGGGCTGAGTGGGAACTGGCTGGCATACTGGCAGTACGAGATTGGTGTGAGCCAGCAGGACGCCCACTTTCACTTCCACCAGATCCGCCTGCAGAGCTTCCCAGGCCACTCAGGGGCCGTCAAGTGTGTGGCACCCCTGAGCAGTGAGGACTTCTTCCTGAGTGGCAGCAAGGACCGCACTGTGCGCCTCTGGCCACTCTACAACTCTGGGGATGGCACCAGTGAGATGGCCCCACGCCTCATCTATGCCCAGCACCGCAAGAGTGTCTTCTTTGTGGGCCAGCTTGAGGCCCCGCAGTGTGTGGTGAGCTGTGACGGGGCTGTGCACGTCTGGGACCCCTTCACAGGTGAGTGGGCCCAGGTGAGGCCTGTCTTGTTGCTGCCATCCTGCACCCCACCAGGCCTCTGGGAGTAGGGTCCAAAGGTGGGGTGTAATGGCGTGTGGTTTGAGGTGGCCCAGTGAGACCACACAGAGGATCAGTTAAGACTTGGAATCCATTAGATCTTGAATTTGAATCGGCTCTGCCAACTCAACTTGCTGAGTGACCTTGAACAAGTCACTTTGCTGTTGGAAGCATCAGTTTTCTCATCTGTAAAATGAGAATCAGAACAACTGGTCTAGAAGATAATGCATATGGGGGCTTGGCTTAACATGCGGCATGTAGTACGCATTTGGTAAGTCATTGCCTCATTCCTTTTTGACATCATTGTAAGGAGAAACTAGGCTAGAAGTGGGTAGAGGCTGGGGTAGTATTGAGGTAGACAGAGGTAACATTAGGTCAGGAGGTGCTATATTAAGAGAGGAGGTTGCTTTGGGGACAGGAGCCTGGCTGGGTCATGAAAGCAGGAAGGTGGGAGGGTCAAGAAACATCTAGCATTTTCTGAGATTCCCTGGGATATTAGAGGCAGATATGGAATAGGTCAGGGTATAGGAAGAGTTGGGGCTCTTCCATCAGCTTCTGGGACCCCAGGTCCACTGTGCCTTTTTTCTTGCCAGGGAAGACCCTTCGCACGGTAGAGCCGTGGGACAGCCGGGTGCCACTGACTGCTGTGGCTGTAATGCCTGCCCCTCACACCAGCATCACCATGGCCAGCTCTGACTCAACCCTGCGCTTTGTCGACTGCAGGAAGCCTGGACTGCAGGTCAGGGGTGTCCAGCTCCCTGAGCCCTGGCCTGAGTGCCTGGAAGCGGGGAGAGACCCCAAAGTGAAAAGGGCATGGGCATAACTTCTGTTTGGAGACAGATCACCCACAATAGCAAACCCTGGGGGGCAAGGGGGAGGAGGGGAGGACTCTGGCCTGTGATGGGAGGAGCTCTCCTCTTGATGGGGGACAGAGGCTCAGACCTTCCAGCTGTGTGGGCTTGGGGGGTAAGCAGGACCTCAGGAAGAAGCGGGTTGGAGCAGCAGCGGCATCTCAGCTCGTCTCCCTCTGCTTGCAGCATGAGTTCCGCCTGGGTGGCGGGCTGAACCCTGGGCTTGTCCGCTCCCTGGCTGTTAGCCCCAGTGGCCGCAGCGTCGTGGCCGGCTTCTCCTCGGGCTTCATGGTGCTCCTGGACACCCGTACGGGCCTGGTTCTGCGTGGCTGGCCTGCCCATGAGGGGGACATCCTGCAGATCAAGGTGACAGACCAAATCCCCTTCCCCTCCTCACTGCTGTGGACCCCCACCTCTGTTTAGGGTCCACCCAGGACAGGCTCAAGCTGATCTCCTTGATATCTGCCCAAGGACAGGTATAAGGGAGGGTCAGGAGCCAGGTGCACTTTGAGGCCATGGCAGGAGGCAGGCCACAGGGGCGGGCACTAGGGGGCTGAGCTGACCCTGCTGCTCCCTGGATGTGTTCTAATGAGTAACCCTTGTCCATATTTGTCTTGCTAGGAGGATCAGGGGTCGGGTCCTGTCCGTGACCCAATTCAGGTTAAATAAAGCTCAGCTAGGAGGATGTTTACTACCCCCAGACCACTGAGCAGAGTCCATACTCCCTGGTGGGGGCAGGGGCAGAGGAGTATGGGAATCCTGCCACCACCTCTGCCCCTGCCCCACTCTCAATCACAGCCCTCAAGGAGGCAAAGGAGGGGAGGCACAGGGCTACTTGTGTGAGGGTTTCTCCCGGCAACTGGGATTCCCTCCCCATCCTAAGTGGAGGCCAAGGGATATGCACTGCTGCTGCTGAGGGCACGCTGCTCGGGTCCCCTCTAGGATTCCCCAGGAGACCCTGGGTCCAGGTGCCTCTAAATTCCAACTTTCCAATCCAGACTTTTCTGGAGGGCTTTGGGGCCAACCTGGGTGTTAATCCTGACTCTGCCACTTACTGACTCTGTGACTTCAGTATGATTACTTAAGTTCTCTGAGCCTTAGTTTTCCTCCATAAATGGGAACAATGACAGCATCTACCCTGTGGGGTTGTTACAAAGATTAAATGTGGTAATATGGCAATGTGGCATGCCTACACAGTTCCTGAACACAGTAAGTGCTCAAAATATAGTGATAACTAGGTTAATTATACTTGAATATATTTATACTAATTAACCTTAACATAATACGGGAGGATGGCAGCCTGTTTACTGGTCAGGATGCCCTGTCTTCTTGGGAGGTACTGTGGGAGGAAATGGGAAGACCCTGGGGCTTGGTGGGCACACAGGAGGCTCCAAGCCCTGCTGAGGCTGTCCTGTTCCCGAGCAGGCGGTGGAGGGCAGTGTCCTGGTCAGCTCTTCCTCCGACCACTCTTTGACCGTCTGGAAGGAGCTGGAGCAGAAGCCCACGCACCACTACAAGTCAGCATCAGACCCTATCCACACCTTCGACCTGTATGGCAGTGAGGTGGTCACTGGCACCGTGGCAAATAAGATTGGTGTCTGCTCCCTGCTTGAGCCACCCTCCCAGGCCACCACCAAGCTCAGCTCTGAGAACTTCCGTGGGACACTCACCAGCCTGGCCTTGCTGCCTACCAAACGCCACCTCCTGCTGGGATCAGACAATGGGGTCATCCGCCTCCTGGCATAGGCTGAGGTGGGAGCTGGCTAGACCCAAGTGGGCAGACATCCTCCAAGAATCCACCCCTCACCCTCGTTTCCCCACAAGCTCCCTCCATGCAAGCCTTGGGCCCCATACCCTCTGTACCCACATGGCCTGCCAGCTAGGGCAGGGTGGGGATCTGGGCTTCTGAACCCCCAGAGCCACCAACGCTGCCAGTGAAGATCTCATTCACAGCTTGAGGAGACACTGCTCCTAGCTAGCAGGAAGCAAGAGGAGGAGCTGGGAAAGCATCACTGTCCTCTCTTCTCCCAGGTCTACCCTCTGGATCCACATGGGGACAAGCAAGCTCGAGAAGGGAAAGGGAGACTGGCCCTGCCCACCCAGTTTCCAGCCAAGGCCCCCGCCCCTTCTTGCTGGGCTCTCTCTGGCTCTGTCTCCCAAGGACAGGGGAGCTGCCCTAGTTCAGGACCCCATGGTGCTTGGGCTCTATCCTCTAAGGAGGGCTGGCCATGGTCTTTAAGGGCCTTGGGCTGGGGTTTAAGTGTCTACTCAACCAGGACCTGCCCAGTAGGGGATGAGTAGGACAAGAAAGAGGTTAGGATCGGGGAGGGAAGATGGACTTGGCTAGCTGGTGCCTGCCAGGAGTGACCCCATGCCTTGCCTGCCATCCTTAACCACAGTGTTTGTGCCTTGAGCTGAGGAGGCAGCCCCTGGGCCTGGAACTCTTGCAGGGTTTGAGGGGGCGGTCCAAGTCTCTGAGAGAAGGGGCAAGAAGGATTCTATCTCTGCATCTCAGATCTCTCCCAGGGGACAGGTAGACCCTTGTGTTTCCGAGTCCTCACATTCTGGAGCAGAAATGAGGTCTGGGACTGGGCCCCTGTTGCCTCTTTACTATTTGCAATAGATGTAAATATGACCAATAAATCCTTTGGAAGAGCCATGGAACTGAGTGAGGCTTTTCTTGACGGTGGTTAGGTGGGGGAAAAGTTGCAATCCTGCAGCTTAGAGGGAAGTGAGGAGAGGGTGAGGAGTAAGGCAGGAGGTGGGGAGGCAGCCTGATCATTGCTCTTCAGGCAGCACAGGGGACAGGGCTTCGGGTTTGTGCAGCCCCAGGCCAGTTTCCAGAACCCTCACCCTTGGGGAGGGTAAAGAGGCATTGCTCCCGATGAGGTAGGATGCTGAGAGAGTCTTGTCCCTCAGTATCTCTCCCCAGCCCCTTCCTTCCAGACCCAGAATGAAGGTAGCCAACTGGGATCCTGGGCATGTAAGGGTTGGTACATAGGCTCCTGCAGCTTCCCCTTCCCTCCCCTTGGGATGGGAGGCAGGAAAAGGCATTGGAAGTCGAAATCTGGATGTAACTCTGAGCCCAGCTATGACCTTGGGCAGGTCACATAGCATCTCTGAGCCTGACTAAACTAGGGATAACCCCCCACCTCATGGGGTCACTGGAAGGCTCCTGTCCTTCCTTGATCTGCTCTCCAGATGAGGACGGCCTCTTCCACTGTCTCCTGAACCACCTTTCTCTAGGCTCAGGTGGGACTCAAGTGCATGTGGCTCCAGGTGGCCGTCTCAGGATTAGGTGCTCCGGTGGGAAGGGGGCTTCCGGCCCCAATATCAATGTTTAACCGGATATGCAGGTCAATATTTACCAGAGGAGAAAGCAATCTGAACAGGGGTTGGCTGTTCAGAGCAAAGGTCCTAGTGGGAGGGGAGGGCTCGTCTGGGCTGGCTGGAGCCTGGGGTAGAGCGTGGGGAGCACCCAAGTGAGGCCAGAGGGACATCGTGTGCAACAGAGAGGAGCTTGAAGAGGTACGAGGTGAGGGGTGGCTTGGCCTGCTCCTCGGGCAGGAGAGAGGTAGAAGTTGCCCACCTGGCTAAGGGGGTCTGGGCTGAATTTATTCAAGAGGCCTGTCATTTCCTGGCCTCTTGGGGTGATGAGGGGCCAAGGTGGGAGTCCAGGGAGAGTCTCTCTGGGACTTGAAAAACGAGGTCTTTTCTTGCCAGAAAGATTCAAAAGCCCAGGTTAGGGATCTGGGCCCTGGCCAAAGGCCCTTGTGTGTGGTGGGGGTGAGCCCAGGGGTGATAGAAGGATTCTCCAGAAAGACTGGCCCTGAGAATGGGGGTGGGGTATGTGAGACCTGCTCAGAGGCTAGACCTACACTTGCCCATCCCCTCCTGCCAGTCTGGCTTCCTGGAACCAGCCTGGGGCAAAGTGATTTCCGTAAGTCCAAAGGTGGTTCTGGCCAGAGTCATTCATTGGGTTCTGCTGTAGGGTCAACAAGGTGGCTCTCTGGGCCACCCCACCTCCCCTGCTGAGACCCCAGAGTCTTAAAGGCCTGTCCACCCTTGTTAGCAAGACCAGACCAGACCAGCCAGAAAAGGTGGGCCAGATGGATAGCAGGTTAGATAAGAGTTCTGGGGGAGCTCCAGTACAGAGCAGGGTTCTCAGAAGAGAGCCTTGGCTAGGCTAACAACAGCCATGATTGGGTGCCAGGCATTGTACCCAGGGCTCAAAAAGATTGTCTTATTTTGGTCCTCGTAATACCTGTGGGAGGAGGTAGGGACTTGTACCACCATTTTATAATATGAGGAGGAGCCCAGAGGGATTAAGGTCGATGTCCAAGATTCTCCGTTAAGAGTCAGAGTCTGGATTCAAACCCAGGTCTGATTCACAGTGCCAGGCCTTGAAGAATGAGGACTTTTTCTGTTTCAATAACATTTTCCCCCTATGAACTAAAACATTCTCAGTGCATGAAATGTGAAAAACCAGAAAACACAAAGGGAAAAAACAATTCAGGGAAAAAACCCTCAGAGCTGAGAGGTACTGCTAATGTGTTTTGGGGGTGTGTGCTGTACCTGGCATTATCCCCTCAGCAGTGACGGCTCAGGACTTGGCCAGCCAGTGATTATGTGGGTGGGATTCCATGTGGGTGTGGGGACTTGGCCTTAGGTAGCAAGTCAGATAATTGGTGACAGTGTGTGTGGGGATGAGGCGGGAACTGAGGCTTCCTGTCCCGCACAGGAACATGGCACTGCTTTGGGGGCTCCTGGTGCTCAGCTTGTCCTGCCTGCAAGTCCCCTGCTTGGTGGTGAGCCTGGGCCATGATCTGCGTGGGGAAGGGAGGCAGGTATGGAAGAGGCCAGAGGTCTGAGGGGGAAGAGGAGAAAGGCTGGATAGAGGGAGGATTTGCCTCTATAAGGGGTTCTTCATGCCTTTCTTAACAGTTCTCTCCAGCGAGTGCCATGCTCTTTGGTCAGCAGGTACTTGGGATTGAGGGGACATGATGGGGAGGAAAGCCCTGAGGGGCCTCACATATGGTTTGTACAGAGTAGGGAACCTGCTGGACGGGTCTCTCTCCATTTATTTCCTCCTTTCTTCAGATAGTGAGCGGGCCAACCCAGGAGAAGCTAGCCCCACTTAGCTTCCTCATGTTGGGCAACCAGGTACAACCAGGTGGGGCTGGGGAAGAGTGGGCGGGGTCTGAGGGAGGAGGGCCAATCAGTAGGGTTGAGGGAACTTGGGGTTGTGGCTGTGAGGCTGAGGCTTGAGGGGAGAGGGTGAGAGGGACCAGAGAAAGGGATCCAGTCTCTAGCATACCATTGCCTGTGTGATTGGGTATCAGGACTGACAAGGCCCTGCTGCCCCCGAGCACAGGGGCTATGAAAGATATCTTCAACACAGAAGCCAGAGCTGAACCCTGGACCCCACTGACTCCTGATATACCCCTGCAGGAGTTTCGTGGCCATACTGCCCTGAAGAAGGCCCCAGGAGACTGCAAAGAGGCCCCAACTCCGGAGCAGAACCGCAGGCTGGCCCAGGCCATGATGGCCTTCACCACAGACCTATTCTCCCTGGTGGCCCAAAGATCTACCAGCCCCAACCTCATCCTATCGCCTTTGAGTGTGGCCCTGGCACTCTCTCACCTGGCACTAGGTACTGTGGCAGCACCTGTCCAGACCAGCAGAGCTGGGAGGCCAGTAGGAACTCACCTCTCTAGAGTTACTCCTCCACTGGAGTCCCTTGGATGCTTGATAAAATGCGGGCCCACCTTCAATCTCTGTGAGACAGATTCCCAGGGATTGAGTCTGGAGATCTGCTTCTGGTGACTTTTATGTAAGAGTTTGTTAGCTACAATGTCTCCATTGGACTGGAGGGTATCATTGTGGGAAACGGAGGTTCCGAAAGGGATGACGATTTTTGTGAGGCAAGGCTGCCCAGACTGTCAGCAGCAGAGATAAAAGTAGAACTTGGGAGTCCTGTCGCTCCGACCATTTCAGTGGATGGGAGAGGAGAGTGTGGTTCTAGGGGCATGCTCACCATAGGTACTCAAGGGATGGGGTGGACAGTGGGAGTAGAAAGAACTCCAGCCTGGGCCATAGCCAATGCGGTCCCCTCCAGGTGCTCAGAACCAAACGCTGCAGAGGTTACAGCAGGTGCTGCATGCAGACTCAGGGCCCTGCCTACCCCGCCTGCTGAGCCGCCTGTGCCAGGACCTGGGTCCTGGAACATTCCGATTGGCTGCCAGAATGTACTTGCAGAAAGGTAGGTACTGGTGGCAGGGAGTTCCCTAGGCAGTGCCTGGGGTGGACAGGGTGAGGGAGATGGGCTTGGCCTCGGGTAGCCAGTTGAATCATTGGTGGCTGTGGAGCTTGAGCCTTGGGAGCAGCTTGTGGTCCCTTCTATGTAGGATTTCCCATCAAAGAAGACTTCCTGAAACAATCGGAACAGCTCTTTGGTGCAAAGCCCATGAACCTGATGGGAAAGAAGGGGGATGACCTGGCAAACATCAACCAATGGGTGAAGGAGGCCACGGAGGGGAAGATTGAGGATTTCCTCTCAGAGCTGTCAGATGACACAGTGCTGCTTCTCCTCAATGCCATCCACTTCCAGGGTACGCTCCTTCTCTTCTCAGGTCCCCCACCCTGGCAGATCCTACGCCTGCCCTGTAGGCTGAGCCGCTGAGAAGCCTGCGTTCTCAGGGCGCCTCTACCTCTTCATGGCTGGGCCAGGAGGTAGGGGGCTCACTGGGTTATGGCTTGGGGGAGGATAGGAGAAAAGTAATGGTGTGGCAGGGAGGAGGCCCAGGAACTGGATGGGGCTGTTGTGGAGAAAGTATCCTAGGAGGAAACCGAGCCTGAAAAGACCCAGGAGGAGGTTCCTGAGCGCATGGCAAGGCATGGCATGGGGAGAATGCAAGCCCAGATTTCAAAAATTCTACAGAAAGACCTCAGATCAACTGGGTGTCAACTGGCACAGCATCCCCTGGGGTCCTGGCCTCTACCTTTCTTCCCTGAAATGGGTTCTGGGTGGGCTGTGGAAGAGGCTGGTGGAATAGAACCCACCTTGGTCCCCGTCTATGTAGCCCCTGCCTTCTGCTGGATGCAGGTTTCTGGAGGAGCAAGTTTGACCCAAGCCTCACCCAAAGAGAAACTTTCCACCTGGACGAGCAGTTCACGGTGCCGGTGGACATGATGAAAGCCCACACGTACCCTCTGCGCTGGTTCTTGCTGGAGCAGCCTGAGATACAGGTCACCCTTGATTGCTCAGGCTGGGCCTGGGTGCTGGGAGGTGGGGAAGGGAGTAGTAGGCAGGCACTGTGGAGCAGGCACTGGGTTGGGGAGATGTGCCTCCACCTTCCTTGCAGTCATGTCCCTGGGGCATATGGCTCTGAAAGGTCTCATTATGCCCTCACCCAGGGGGACTGAGGCTCCAGGCCTTTTGAGGTTCATTGGTTCAACAAAACTATATTGGGCATTTACTATGTGCCAGATACTGTTCTAGACACTAGAGATTTAGTGGAACACGGGGGAGCCCAGATCTCTATTCTCAGGAGGGAAGACACACAGTATATGAGCACACACATACCAACAGAATAATTTCAGATAATAAGTGGCTATGAAGGAAAAAATTTAAAAAGTGACGTATTAGTGACTGGGGAAGGTATTTTGATAGAGTAGTCAGGGAACATTCTTTGAGGAGCAGATATCAAGTTGAGGCCCAGGTGATCTCTGGTTATGGGGGTTTATTACAAGGACCCATACGTTGTGGGACAGCACAAGGACCACCCCAGCAGCGATGGAGCCACTCTGGGCTCCACTCAGCACCCCCAAGCCAGGGAGATGTGATATGAGTTCTCACACAGTGCTCCTTAGAAGGGAGGATCTGATTGGGATGGATCTGTCGGCATCCTGAATAGAACATTCTGATTGGATAGGGTGCTATGCCAACCTATCTCAAGTGTGACTTCCCTTACTTCTGGCCTAAATGTGGTCTCATGGCTTGGGTACTGGTCCCTAGGCCAGTCAGCTGTGGCTGAGATAGCAGTATTGGGTATTTTCACAAGGCCAACATGACACAGACCACAGCCACTTCTGCAGCCTTTCTGAGGGGAGCAACATCCTGGCTTCTCTGCAGTTCACCCTGGAAGGAGGACCATCTGGTTTACCTCCCCACAATTTTTCTT